GGATGTCACCCTTTCCCGATTGTCACTAGATTGCAGCCAGTTTTAAAATTTTAAACAGTGAATGCACATATATACTGATGGCTTTACATCTTTCTGTAATTTTTTAGAACATTTAGTGGATTTACAAATTTTACGCATAATTTTTCCTTTTTTGCCTTGTTTCCATGGTAACAGCAGCCATTTTGGAAATTACAACGCCAATCGTTGCTTCCACACATGACAGTCAACATTATTGTGAAGTTTCATTAAGTTTGAAGCATTCTGAAATTTTTGAAATTTTTGCTCCTGTATCCATGGTAACATAGAAGTTCCAATGATTGTCAAAATCATTCAAAACCTGTATATAATGGACAACTATATTGTATAAAAATTTGATGATTTTAAGTTAAAGCATACCAAAATTATTCACCAAACCCTGAAGTTTTTGGAGCATTTTGACATTTTTGCATTGTTTCCATGGTAACGGCAGACATTTTGGAAATTCCAACGCCAAATTCCACATCTACCAATGTTGCTCATTGTTACTGCGAAGTTTCAAAAAATTTTGAGCACTTTTATATTTTGGAAATTTTTGATGTAGTTTCCATGGCAACATAGTAGTTCCAATGATTGCCAAAATCATCCAAAACCAGTATATAGTGGGCACCTACATGGTATTAAAATATAATGATTCTAAGTTTAAGCATCTCCAAATAATTCACCAAAACCAAAAACTGGATTTTTTCACATTTGTTCCGTTTCCATGGTATCAGCAGCCATTTTTAATGTTCTTAAGACCTACTGCAACCCGAAATTTTGTGTTCCTCATTATAGTTAACTATCATTAAGATTGGTTCCATTAGCTCCAAAAAAACTGCAGGACAAAATTAGGTGGAAGAATAATAATAATAATAATAATAAAAAAGAAACGAAGGAAAAGCAATATGTCACCCGACATTGTCGATCGGGAGACATAATAATAATAATAATAAGAAGAAGAAATGGGACAAAAAATATAAAGTCCCCAAAACTCCGTTTAAAAACTAAAACTTAACTAGATTTGCCATTGCAAGCAATAGCGGATGGCACCCTTCCCCCATTGCCAGGTGAGCGGCAGTCATTTAGCAAATTCCAAAGTCAAAGAGTGCATCTACACATGCAAATTATCATTTTTGTAAAGTTTAATTAAGTTTGGAGCATTTTGAAATTTTGAACTTTTTTGCTGTTTCCATGGTTACGGCAGCCATTTTGAAAATTCCAACTTCAAAATGCAACTCTGCCCATGCCAGTTACCATTTCTGTTAAGTTTCATCCAGTTTGCAGCATTTTGATTTTTTTTGAAATTTTGAACATTTTTGCTGTTTCCATGGTGACAGTGGATAATTCCAAAATTCTAAAAGCAGATATCTCATTGCCATATGTCATGTTATATATCAATACAGTTTCATTGACTTTGGTCAAATACTCTTTAAGAAAATGCTGATTTTATGCATTTTCCTATAGGGTCAATGTAAAACTTGCCCCCAGTTTCCATGACAACGGCGCCCATTTTGGACTATCCAAATATTGTCTTGACATCTTAGCATACTGGGTAACATTCTCATAAAGTTTCATCCAGTGGGGTCTTATAACGAAAGAGTTAGAATTTTTGATATTTTAGCTGTTTCCATGGTAACGGCAGCCATTTTGAAAATTCCGAAGTCAAGCTGCACATGCCAGTTACCACTCTTGTGGAGTTTCTTCCAGTTTGGAACACTTTGTGATTTTTTTCGCATTTTTGCTGTTTCCATGGAAACGGCGGCCATTTTTTACCATTCCATAGCAAGGTGCACAACTTTACATGGGGGTCCTCATTATAGTAGAGTTCCATCAACATTGGTCCATTGGATTCCAAGAACTCGCGCGGACAAAATGTGTGGAAGAAAAATAATAAAAATAACTAGATTTGCCATTGCAAGCAATAGCGGATGGCACCCTTCCCCCATTGCCAGGCGAGCGGCATCCATTTAGAAAATTCCAAAGTCAAAGAGTGCATCTACACATGCAAATTATCATTTTTGTAAAGTTTCATTAAGTTTGGAGCATTTTGAAATTTTGGACATTTTTGCTGTTTCCATGGTTACGGCGGCCATTTAAAAAATTCCAACTTCAAAACGCAACTTTGCCCATGCCAGTTACCATTCCTGTAAAGTTTCATCCAGTTTGCAGCATTTTGATTTTTTTGGAAATTTTGGATATTTTTGCTGTTTCCATGGTTACAGTGGATAATTCCAAAATTCTAGAAGCAGACATCTCATTGCCACATGTCATGTTATATATCAATACAGTTTCATTGACTTTGGTGAAATACTCTTTAAGAAAATGCTGATTTTATGCATTTTCCCATAGGGTCAATGTAAAACCTGCACCCAAGTTTCCATGAAAACGGCGGCCATTTTGGACTATCCAAATATTGTCTTGACATCTTAGCATACTGGGTAACATTTTCATTAAGTTTCATCCAGTTGGGTCTTATAACGAAAGAGTTTTTTTGATATTTTAGCTGTTTCCATGGTAACGGCAGCCATTTTGAAAATTTCGAAGTCAAACTGCAAATCAGCACATGCCAGTTACCATTCCTGTGGAGTTTCTTCCAGTTTGGAACACTTTGAATTTTTTGAAACTTTGGACATTTTTGCTGTATCCATGGTTACAGTGGACAATTCCAAAATCCTAAAAGCAGACATCTCATTGCCACGTGTCATGTTATATATCAATACAGTTTCATTCACTTTGGTGAAATACTCTTTAAGAAATTGCTGATTTTATGCATTTTCCCATAGGGTCAATGTTAAACTTGCCCCCAGTTTCTATGACAACGGCAGCCATTTTAGAAATTCCAACACCAATTACCACTTTTACACTAGCCAGTCAACATTATTGTGAAGTTTCATTAAGTTTGAAGCTTTCTGAAAATTTTGAAAATTTTGCTGCTGTATCCATGGTAACATAGTAGTTTTAATGATTGTGAAAATCATCCAAATCCTGTATATAGTGGACAACTACATTGTATAAAAATTTGATGATTTCAAGTTATAGCATACCCATATTATTCACCAAACCCTTAAGTTTTTGGAGCATTTTGACCTTTTTGCATTGTTTCCATGGTAACGGCAGACATTTTCGAAATTCCAACGCCAAATTTTACATCTACCAATGTTGCTCATCGTTACTATGAAATTTCATTAAATATGAAGCATTTTGATATTTTTGAAATTTTTGGTGTAGTTTCCATGCCAACATAGTAGTTCCAATGGTTGCCAAAATCATACCAAAACCAGTATATAGTGAGCACCTACATTGTATTAAAATATAATGATTCTAAAATTAAGCATATCGTAATAATTCACCAAAACCAAAAACTGGATTTTTTCACGTTTGTGTAGTTTCCATGGAAACGGTGGCCATTTTTTACCATTCCATAGCAAGGTGCACGACTTTATATGGGGGTCCTCATTAAGTTTGGAGCATTTTGAAATTTTTGACATTTTGGCTGTTTCTATGGTTACGACGGCCATTTTGAAAATTCCAGCTGCAAATGCAACTCTGCCTATTCCAGTTACCATTTCTGTAAAGTTTCATCCAGTTTGCAGCATTTTGATTTTTTTTGAAATTTTGGACTGTTTTTGCTGTTTCCATGGAAACGGCGGCCATTTTTTACCATTCCATAGCAAGGTGCACAACTTTACATGGGGGTCCTCATTATAGTAGAGTTCCATCAACATTGGTCCATTGGATTCCAAGAACTCGCGCGGACAAAATGTGTGGAAGAAAAATAAGAAAAACTAGTATCTCAATTGTTTGTAAAACAATTGAAAGGTCTTTCCTGTTAAAGTTATGTTTTCGTAATGTACTTTGTACGACCTTTCATTTGATATACGACAAGCATACCTTCTAAAACTTTTCGCTTTTTACACTTAATGACCCAATCCACCTTAATTTTCAAGATCGGAAGTATGATATATGTAATGTAGACTTGATGATCTTTCATTTGATATGCGACAACGCCATGTTCTAGAAAGTTTGATTTTTGCACTTAATAACCCCATCCAACTCATTTTTTGAGGACAGGAATCTGATATTTTAAATGTACATCTTACGACCTTTCATTTGAAATACAACAACCTTAGTAATACCTTAAAAGAAAATTTTATTTTTTGCACTCAATGACCCCACCCAACCCCTTTTTTGGGACGTCAATTTGATATTGAAATGTACGCTTTATGGACTTTCATTTGATATGCGACAACCTAACCATCTGAGAAGTTTGAATTTTTTGCACTAAATGACCCCACCCTTCCCCCTGGGATGAAAAAGGGGTTTTACATTTTCATTTTTGAGTAGAGCTCGTTAAGACCTTCAATTTGATATATCAAATGACCCAATTTGGCAAAGTGCCAAAAATGATGCAATATAAATTATATAAATAGAACTTATGAAACTTACAAAGTAAATGCAAAACATGAAAATTTCAAATTGATTTTTTGGGGGTTTTTTTCATTGAATGTTTTTGGTATTTAGTCAAATATATAACCATGTTGAATTCTTTAATTTCTAAAAATATCAGGTGGTAAACTGTTGTTGATTCAGAAATACATGCCTCCGCTCGAAAAATTTCAAACTGCATTATCTCTTAAACGACAACAGATATCTCAAATCTGTTAAATGATAAATGATCTGCAGTTAAAGAGCAACATTGTATACAAAAATTTGGGACAATTCCATAGTTCATCAAGGTCACAATGAATTATCAAATATATGATGCAATATCAAACTTGAGAACCGGAAGTCGTAGAGACATGGGACTACCACCATTCAACTCAGGACCACTTGGCCTTTCAATTGTCACAATGTCAAGGTGATAGCAGTCTGAAGGTGAAGGTTAAATTTCATCATGACCTGACATTGACCTCAAATTGAAGGTCTTGGATTACTGATCATCTTTGCAGTTTATAGTAGGTTGATATCTGTTACCTTTTAAAAAGATATACATATGTTACTATAGTTTTAAGAATTATGTTAATGTAACTTTTGAACAGACGGTCGGACATTTTTGAACTTAATGTATAAAATGTAGAGCACGTCCAGAGGAACATTTTATACACAGTATGTATGCAGCAAACTCTTATTGTTTTCTTAATATGCAAGCTTGAAATTGCAGCGTAATTTTATTTGCACTCTGTGACCTTTGACCTTGAGTGCAAATTGAAGGTCACAAGAACTTAGGATTATTAGTGTAGGTCCCAAGTCTCTACGACTTCCGGTTCTCGAAATAGAATTTTTCAAAAATTGTGTATATTTTTTTAAGAGAAATAACTCCTTATAAGGGTCAATAACAAAATTATTTTATATGTTTATTAACATTGCCATCTGTTCTTGTACATGTTGCCGTTTTCAAATCGATTCTATCCCTAATACTTTTTGAGAAAAATGCGAAAAAAAGAAATTGCTGCAAGGGGATATAACTCGCATAGGGGATGATGAAATCCTATGCAGCCTCATATGGTAGTACATCATGATGAGATCTACCTATTGTACAAATAAGGTCATGATAACTCATAAAACAACGAGTAGGGGCCATGTCGAAAAAATCCAATAAAAGTGAGATAACTTCTATAGAGGATGATGAAATCCTTAACAGGGTCATCTGGTAATACTTCATGATGAGGTCTATCGATGGTCCATATTTAGTCCTGATAACTTCAACAGAAACGTGGGGAGGGCATTCCCAAAAAAATGTTGGAAGAAAAAAAAGAAAAAAAAAAAAAAAGAAAAAACATTAGAAAAACTAGTATCTCAATTGTTTGTAAAACAATTGAAAGGTCTTTCCTGTTAAAGTGATGTTTTCGTAATGTACTTTGTACGACCTTTCATTTGATATACGACAAGCATACCTTCTGAAACTTTTCGCATTTTACACTTAATGACCCCATCCGCCTTAATTTTCGAGATCGGAAGTATGATATATGTAATGTAGACTTGATGATCTTTCATTTGATATGCGACAACGCCATGTTCTAGAAAGTTTGATTTTAGCACTTAATAACCCCATCCAACTCATTTTTTGAGGACAGGAATCTGATATTTGAAATGTACACGTTACGACCTTTCATTTGATATACAACAACCTTACCTTAAAAGAAAATTTTATTTTTTGCACTCAATGACCCCACCCAACTCATTTTTAGGGGACGTCAATTTGATATTTGAAATGTACGCTTCATGGACTTTCATTTGATATGCGACAACCTAACCATCTGAGAAGTTTCAATTTTTTGCACTAAATGACCCCACCCTTCCCCCTCGGATAAAAAAGGGGTTTAACATTTTCATTTTTGAGTAGAGCTCGTTAAGACCTTCAATTTGATATATCAAATGACCTCATTTGGCAAAGTGCCAAAAATGATGCAATATCAATTGTATAAATAGAAATTATGAAACTTACAAAGTAAATGCAAAACATAAAAAATATAAATTTAATTTTATGGGTTTTTTTTTCATTGAATGTTTTTGGTATTTAATCAAACATATAACCATGATGAACTCTTTAATTTCTGAAAATTTCAGGTGGTAAACTGTTGTTAAATCAGAAATACATGCCTCCGCTCGCAAAATTTCAAACTGCATTATCTCTTAAATGACAACAGATATCTCAAATCTGTTAAAAGAAAAATGCTCTGCAGTAAAAGGACAACATTTTTAAAAAAAATTTGGACAATTCCAAAGTTCATCAAGGTCACAATGAATTATCAAATATATGATGCAATATCAAACTTGAGAACCGGAAGTCGTAGAGACATGGGACTACCACCATTCAACTCAGGACCACTTGACCTTTCAAATGTCACAAGGTCAAGGTCATGGTACACTCTGAAGGTCAAGATTAAATTTCATCATGACCTGAAATTGACCTCAAATTGAAGGTCTTGAACTACTGATCATCTTTCCAGTTTATAGAAGGTTGATATCTGTTACCTTTTAAAAGATATACATATGTTACTATAGTTTTTAGAATTATGTTAATGTAACTTTTGAACAGACGGTCGGACATTTTTGAGCTTAATGTATAAAATGTAGAGCTCGTCGAGAGGAACATTTTATACACAGTATGTATGCAGCAAACTCTTATCGTTTTCTTAATATGCAAGCTTGAATTTGCAGCGTAATTTTTTTTTGCACTCGGTGACCTTTGACCTTGGATGCAAATTGAAGGTCACATGAACTTAAGATTATTGGTGTAGGTCCCAAGTCTCTACGACTTCCGGTTCTCGAAATACGATTTTTCAAAAATTGTGTATATTTTTTCAAGAGAAATAACTCCTTATAAGGGTCAATAACAAAATTATTTTATATGTTCATTTATATTGCCATCTGTTCCTGTACATGTTGCTGTTTTCAAATCGATTCTATCCCTAATACTTTTTGAGAAAATGCAAGGGAAAGAAATTGCTTCAAGGGGATATAACTCGCATAGGGGATAATGAAATCCTATGCAGCCTCATATGGTAGTACATCATGATGAGATCTACCTATTGTCTAAATAAGGTCATGATATCTTTAAAAACAACGAGGGGGGGCCATGTCGAAAAAATCCAATCAAAGGGAGATAACTTCTACAGGGGATGATGAAATCCTTAACAGGGTCATGTGGTCATACTTCAAGATGAGGTCTATCGATGGTCAATATTTGGTCTTGATAACTTCAACAGAAACGGGGGGAGGGCATTCCCAAAAAAATGTTGGAAGAAAAAAAAGAAAAAAAAAAAAAAAAAAAAAAAGAAAAAGAAAAAAAAAAAAAAAAAGAAAAAAAAAAAAACATTAGAAAAACAATAAGGTCTTTCCTAACGGAGTGGAAAGACCTTAACAATAAGGTCTTTCCTAACGGAGTGGAAAGACCTTAACAAGAAACGTAGAATAACAGTATGTCACCCCAACTCCGTTGAGGGTGCCATACTAATAAAAAAAAAAGAAACGTAGAATAACAATATGTCACCCCAACTCCGTTGAGGGTGCCATAACTAGATTTGCTATTGCAAGCAATAGCGGAGGATGTCACCCTGTACTGGACATTGTCACAGTAGCAGCAACCATTTTGAGTTTACCAAAGTCAAATGACACATCTATTATACATGCTGGAATTGGCATGTCTTTGATCCCCCCTTTTTTCTCTACCCGTAGAATAAGTTTGAGTTCTATACATAGTTTGGGAATTCTTTAGAATCTAAAATTAGACCCACGCGCGAGGAAGAACGTGGCGTCACGTGATGTGCAAGTATATTATCTCGGACTGTTATTATCTAGGATTTAGCACATTAATATTCTTTTTAGAGGAGACCTTGGACAGACAACATGTGTATATATTGACGGAGCGGCATACTAACTGTTCATTTGGTTCTTCAATAGCTCGCGTATCACACGATACATGCATCTTATCTTGTACAATTAAATGACACGTTCATCGATTGATTTTAGCTAATGTGTTTATTTAAGCAGGTGTGTAATTCACGGATGTGTACTGTAATGCATGTAGAGAAATGTCAATACTATGTACTCTTAGTGTTTCTATCTCTCTCTCGGTGACGATGTTCTCTTCACAGCACGATTTTTGTATTGTATAGAATAGAAGCACGTTAAATTATAAATTGTTTTCCTTCTAGCATATTCTAGAAGATGTTTTGCAGTACAGATTTGTATTTGATCGTATGCACATACTCTTGATTACGGAATTTTGCCTCAAATTTTCGTGGTGTTTTATATATAAAAAAGAAGATGTGGTATGATTGCCAATGAGACAACTCTCCACAAGAGACCAAATGACATAGAAATTAACAACTATAGGTCACCATACGGCCTTCAACAATGAGCAAAGCCCATACTGCATAGTCAGTTAAGTTTTTTTTGCTGTTTCCATGGCAACGGCGGCCATTTAAAATTCCTAAGACAAATAGCAACTCTGCACATCCCAATTGACATTTCTGTGAAGTTTCATCAAATTTGGAGCATTTTGAAATTTTTGGATATTTTTGAATTTGTGCTGTTTCCATGGTAACAGTGACCGATTCCAAAATTTTAAAGACATGAATCACTTTGACAGATGACCAGGAATATACCATGAAAGAATCATGGAATTTGACCTACCATTCTAAGTAAGTAAATGCTACTTTTAAGAATTTCCCATAGGGTCTAATGGTAAATGTTTCTCCAGTTTCCATGGTAATGGCAGCCATTTTGGAATTTCTAAATACGGTCAACACATCTTGGCATACCAGGTTACATTCCCATCAAGTTTCATCCAGTTGGGTCTTATAATGAAAGATTAAATGGATTTGCAATTGTGATTTTTTTTTCACATTTTTTCTGTTTCCATTGTAACGGCAGCCATTTTTTTTGTTCCAAAGTAGCACTGCAACTCGAAAGTCACGGTTCCTTGTTATATTGCACCATCATTTAGATTGGTTCATTTGGCTCTGAGAAAACTGGCGGACAAAATTAGGTGGAAGAAAAATAATAATAATAATAAAGAAACGGAGGAATAGCAATATGTCACCCGACATTGTCGTACGGGTGACATAATAACTAGATTTGTAATTGCTAGCAATAACGGATGGCACCCTTCCCCCATTGCCAGGCGAGCGGCAGCCATTTTGAAAATTCTAAAGTCAAAGAGCGCATCTTCAGGTGTCTATTAACATAGTTGTTAAAATTCATAAATTTTGGAGCATTTTAAAAATTAAAAATTTTTTGCTGTTTCTATGGTAGCGGTTACCATTTCCAAAATTCCAAAGACAGGTGCCACTTTCGGTTTGCCATATTACATATCCATAAAGTTTTATTAGCTTTGATCCAATATTTTTGTAAGAAATGCAGCTTTAACGTGTTTTCCCATAGGGTCAATGTTAAACTTTCGCCCTGTTTCCATGACAATGGCAGCCATTTTGGAACTTCTTAAAATTCCATGGCATCTGGGCATATCAGGTAACACTTCCATGAAGTTTCATCCAGTTGGGTCTTATAATGAAAGATATAGAATTTTGAAATTTTTTCACATTTTGTCAGTTTCCATGACAACGGCCGCCATCTTGAATATGTCATACCCTGTTTTCCAATCTGCACATAATGGATAACATTATGATATAGTTCCATGACCATTGGTTCATACAATTCCAAGTTATCAGCTGGACAAAAAAAGTGGAAGAATAATAAAAATAACTAGATTTGCCATTGCAAGCAATAGCGGATAGCACCCTTCCCCCATTGCCAGGCGAGCGGCATCTATTTAGAAAATTCCAAAGTCAAAGAGTGCATCTACACATGCAAATTATCATTTTTGGAAAGTTTCATTAAGTTTGGAGCATTTTGAAATTTTGGACATTTTTGCTGTTTCCATGGTTACGGCGGCCATTTTGAAAATTCTAACTTCAATATGCAACTCTGCTTATGCCAGTTACCATTTCTGTAAAGTTTCATCCAGTTTGCAGCATTTTGATTATTTTGGATATTTTGGACATTTTTGCAAGTTAACATTCTTGTGGAGTTTCTTCCAGTTTGGAACACTTTGATTTTTTTCGCATTTTTGCTGTTTCCATGGAAACGGCGGCCATTTTTTACCATTCCATAGTAAGGTGCACAACTTTACATGGGGGTCCTCATTATAGTAGAGTTCCATCAACATTGGTCCATTGGATTCCAAGAACTCGCGCGGACAAAATGTGTGGAAGAAAAATAAGAAAATAAAGAAACGTAGAATAACAATACGTCACCCCAACTCTGTTGAGGGTGCCATAATAAAAATAATAAGAAAAAAAGAAACGTAGAATAACAATATGTCACCCAAACTCCGTTGAGGGTGCCATAATAATAAAGAAACGGAGGAAAAGCAATATGTCACCCGACATTGTCGATCGGGTGACATAACTAGATTTGTAATTGTTAGCTATAACGGATGGCACCCTCGTTCCCCCATTGCCAGGGTTACGGCAGCCATTTTGAAATTTCCAAAGTCAAACTATGCATCTACACATGCCTGTTAACATGACTGTAAATTTTCAGAAAGTTTGGAGCATTTTAAAATTTTTGAAATTTTTGTTGTTTCCATAGTAATGGTGACCATTTCCAAAAATTCCAAAGACAGATGCCACATTGGCACATGCCATATTACATATCCATATATTTGTATTTGGTTTGATTCAATATTCTACAAGAAAATGAAGCTTAAATGTATTTTCCCATAGGCCCAATGTTAAACTTTCGCTCTGTTTCCATGACAATGGCGGCCATTTTGGAATTTCCTAATATTGTCTAAACATCTAGGCATACCAAGGAACATTTCCATAAAGTTTAATCCAGCTAGGTCTTATAATGAAAGATTTAGAATTTTGAAAATATTTCACATTTTTGCAGTTTCCATGGAAACGGCGGCCATTTTAAAACATTCCAGAGTCAGATGCACAACTTTAGATGGGGATCCTCATTATAGTATAGTTCCATTAACATTGGATCACTTAATTCTGAGAAACAGCGTGGACAAAATGTGTGGAAGAATAATAAAAATAACTAGATTTGCCATTGCAAGCAATAGCGGATGTCACCCTTCCCCCATTGCCACTACATTGCAGCCAGTTTAAAAATTTTAAACAGTGAAAGCACATATATACTGATTGCTTTATATCTTTCTGTAATTTTTTAGAACATTTAGCGGATTTACAAATTTTACGCATATTTTTTTCTTTTTTGCCTTGTTTCCATGGTAACGGCAGCCATTTTGGAAATTCCAACGGCAATTGCCGCTTCCACACATGACAGTCAACATTATTGTGAAGTTTCATTAAGTTTGAAGCATTCTGAAATTTTTTTAATTTTTGCTCCTGTATCCATGGTAACATAGTAGTTCCAATGATTGTCAAAATCATTCAAAACCTGTATATAATGGACAACTATATTGAATAATAATTTGATGATTTTAAGTTAAAGCATACCAAAATTATTCACCAAACCCTGAAGTTTTTGGAGCATTTTGACATTTTTGCATTGTTTCCAATGTTACAGCAGCCATTTTGGAAATTCTAACTTCAAATGCCACATCTTCCGATGTTGCTCATTGTTACTGTGAAGTTTCATTAAGTTTGGAGCATTTTGATATTTTTGAAATTTTTGGTGTAGTTTCCATGGCAACATAGTAGTTCCAATGATTGCCAAAATCATCCAACGCCAGTATATAGTGGGCACTTACATGGTATTAAAATATAATGATTCTAAGTTTAAGCATATCAAAATAATTCATCAAAACCAAAAACTGGATTTTTTCACATTTGTCCCGTTTCCATGGTAACGGCAGCCATTTAAAAAATTCCAAACGTGTCGTGCATAACTAGAGTTGATGGTCCTCATTGTGGTACCCATTCAATAGAATTGGTCTATTAATCTATGAGAAAACGGGCGGACAAAAAAGGTGGAATAATAATAATAATAATAATAATAACTAGATTTGCCATTGCAAGCAATAGAGGATGGCACCCTTCCCCCATTGCCAGGCGAGCGACATCCATTTAGAAAATTCCAAAGTCAAAGAGTGCATCTACACATGCAAATTATCATTTTTGTAAAGTTTCATTAAGTTTGGAGCATTTTGAAATTTTGGACATTTTTGTTGTTTCCATGGTAACGGCGGCCATTTTGAAAATTCCAACTTCAAAATGCAACTCTGCCCATGCCAGTTACCATTTCTGTGGAGTTTCTTCCAGTTTGCAGCATTTTGATTTTTTTTGAAATTTTGAACTTTTTGCTGTTTCCAAAATTCGAAAAGCAGACATCTCATTGCCACATGTCATGTTATATATCAATACAGTTTTATTGACTTTGGTCAAATACTCTT